CTCCCTTTTAACTGATAAGGAAACTGAGGACAGAGAGATTAAGTAACATATCCAAGGTCACGCAGCTCGTAAAGTGCAGAGCCAGGGCTCAAACCCAGGTAGCCTGGCTCCAGAGCGCATAATCTTACCTACGACCTCCCTGTGTCTAACATTATCACTAATCCTTACAGTGTTCCTGACAAACAGATTAACCTCTGTTTAATAAATATGGAAACCTAGGCTCGGTGAAGTTAAATAATCAGCCCAAGATCACACAGCTACTAAATGGCACAGCTAGAATTTGCACCAGTACCGTCTGATATCAAACCCCACATTCTTTATGTGATGCCTTGTCTGACTTCTGATATTTTTTGAAAACCTCCTCTGAGTAATTCATACATATTAATTCTTATCCAAGTATTCATTGTAAGCATTTCAGATTAGGAAAGTTGAAAAACAAAACTAAGTGTTTCTCATCAATTTATTCTCAAGTCAACGCCTGCAGAGTCATAGCCGAAATAGCATGGAGGAAACAGTACTGCAATTATTAAAACTAATGAAAGCCAAAATTTCTTTGCATTCTGCCTCTGATTCTGAATGTCCCAACACACATATTTTGTGAAGGCTGGAGGTCTCATAATTGAGGCAATGAGCATACATAGGTGTGGGTGAATCCACAGCTCACCAGTACCTGAAGTCTTGTACCCATTAGAGGAGCATAAAAGAGAATCTGATTTGAAAGCCAAGATTCTGTATTTATTAAAATAAAGCATGTTTGATACTTCCATTCCATTTTCTGTCTTATAAACAGAGGCAAATATTTTAATTTAAACCTAGTTTTGGTTTACACTTCTCTTTAATTTCACTGTGTGTGTGCACACGCATGCATGCTCAGGCATGTCCAACTCTGTGACCCCATGGACTGTACCCCTCAGGCTTCTCTGTCTATAGAATTTTCTAGGCAAGAATACAGGAGTGGGTTGCCATTTCCTATACCAGGGGATCTTTCCAACCCAGGGATCGAAACTGCATCTCCTGTGTCTCCTGCATTGACAAGCAGATTCTTTATCATTAGTGCCACCTGGGAAGCTCCAATTTCAACATACAGGATGGCTAAAACAGTTCATTTATTCAGCCCATTTTCATGGCTCAGAGGATAAAGCGTCTGCCTACAATGCAGGAGACCCGGGTTCGATCCCTGGGTTGGGAAGATCCCCTGGATGAAGGAAATGGCAACCCACTCCAGTATTCTTGCCTGGAGAATTCCATGGACAGAGGAGCCTGGCGGGCTACAGTCCATGGGGTCTCAAACAGTTGGACATGACTGAGCGACTTCACTTTCACTTATTCAGCCCATTTAGCAAAAGATGTTCATAAGCAGAATAAACACAGAATGTATAATTTGAGGGAATAATTTTTTTGTATTTTATTCTGAGGTTCTGTAATTTTTCCATGGAGCCCCATCTTTCCTACATGTGTTAGATTTATTTAAAATTCAAGAAGAATCCTCAGAGACCAGAACATGTTTTTAAAGGGAAGCAGAGCAATAAAAAAGTTAGATAAAAATCGATGGATAAAAATAAATACCCTGGAGGAATTCTTTAACAGCACTGGAACACATCTACACTTCCGAGGGGGTGTGGAATCCTTCATGATCCCGAATGGCGACCTGTTCAGGCTCTTTTCCTATCACTCCTCACCAACACTTCCTCTCCACTAGCTCTGGTCTGCAGTTTCCCTACACACCGAGTTCTCTGGCCTGCCTGCCTCTGCCTGAAGCGGCCATCCCCACCTCACCTCCTCAGCTAAGTCTCTTCCCTTCTCCTTCTCCCTGCCAACCCCCCCCACAAACGCCGCCCTCCTTAATAAAGTCTTACTAATGACTTCCCTCATTCTTCCAGGCACAATCTTCTTCTAGCCTCACGGCTCGGCTTGTACGGCAATTATCTTTTTATGCTGTATTCATTTAAAGGTCTGGTTCTGAAAAGATTAACTCCTTGAGGTAAGAGCACAGTTGAGCTTTCTTGCACTGCTGTTGTTTTTGCCTTGGAACATCTGAATCTCCAGGACTTAGTGGAGGATCATAGTAGATGCTTAATAAACATTTGCTGAAATTTGGGGTCAATGTGGTGAGGGTGACAGAGAAAAAAAATGTGGGCGGGAGGGAAATCTGAACACTTAGCTAAACTGCATGCACATGTGTGTGTGTGTATTCACTCATGAGATAGAGAGTCAAGGACACTGAATGTGTAACTACGGAATGACGGAACCCGAAATTCAGGCAGTGAGTGCTCCCTCGGGAATAACTGACACACAGCTCTTGGAAACGACAGGCTGGTGTACTGCAAGAAGCACAGACACTGTGGTCAGAGACCAGGCTGGAACTCCAGGTCTGCTGCTTATTATCTGAGTCACCTTGCAAGTTACTTAATCTCTTTCGTGTTTCAGCTTTTTGTCTAAAAACTGGCAATAGGTACACAGCTCCTAGGGTTGCTGTGAAGGTTAAATGACCCAAGTACATAGCAGAGTGCCTGAAGACAGTGAAGGCTCAGTAAATGTTAGCTGTTACACCAGCTTCACCAGAAAGAACAACTTTAGGTTTCTGACATTTTACCTGTCTTCCAGAGAAAAATGAGAGGATTTTGAAGTTCAAGTATTCAAAAATAAAAATAGCAAAAACAAACAAATAACTAGATTTCGCATAATGACAGAAATACGAAGTTTATCTACTTACAGGTCAGAATTACAGAAGACAGTATTATAGCCAGGCAAAACTTGGTTATAACCTTAATGGAATATTCTGCATATTCCAAAGATTGCATAATCTTTGGCGCTCCATTTTGCCATTTTCTTTTGAGATGTTTGTGACAGCACTTTGTAATTCCTATAGTATATGACTCCCACCTCTAACATTTCTTTCTCTGCCTGAAATGACTCCCAGAACTCCTTTAATAAAGGTATTGTTTTTCACAGAGTAAAGAACTGCCCTCCAACCCTCTTAAAAAACAAGAGCCTTCTCTGACAAGGACAACTTTGGGGCAGCTGAAGCTTTCAAAGAGAAGTAAAAAATCCCAGAGGCGTGCACTACAGAAGGTTTGCAAAAAGAAGTGAAATGAATGGGGCCAAAGGAAGGGCCAAAAGAAAAAGGAAAAGTGGGAGAAATGGATATACATTATAAATTACAGAACCACTAATACTGCATTTAAATTACATAAACACTAATACTACATTCTTAAAACAAAAAGACAAATCAATACAAATCTTTATCTATATAATGGGAATGTAGCAAATTAATGTAAAAACGCTGTCTTACTTAGGCAATTCTATTAGAGGAAAAAAAAACAATGACTACAGAAGGAAAAATCTAGTCCATTACTCCCTGAAACATACGTAACAGTGGCATTTAATATTAATTTTAAAATTAAAGTAAAATAAGTTAAAAAGTAAGTGAAATTCATTTGTTTGCCTTTCTTAAATGCCCAAGACAAAAACTGATCATAAATGGCACAGAAGTAGGCCAGCTAAATGCATGAATCAGAGGCTTCTCACTTTTATTTTATACCACGATGCAGCAAATTAAGGCATTTGCTTTCTCCCTAAACTTAGTCCAGTGGGTACCCACCCAAGTTAGTCATCTACTTCTTGCTCAGCTTCTCACGTGTGGATGTCTGTCTGTTTTTAATAAACCTAGGACAAATCACCACCTCTTGCAGCTTTGATAAACTTTTGCCTTGTGCCTTTGATACTCTTCCAAACTCTAACTGGAACAGACCTCTCTCCTTCCTACACCTACAGACTGCTGCTGCTACTCCAGTGCACACCCACGTTTTCTTAACAGGACAAACGCAGCAGATTCCCAATTAGTCTTCCTGCCCAGTCTCACCCACATCTGCCACCTGTCCCCACTCTGTGGCCAGGGTGAGACATCTTTCTAACATGCAAATCTGATCATCTTATCCAGTCCTGCTTCATCCCCACCCCCACCCTAAAAGTTCCAACAGGCCATGCTCCCCACTACCTACAGAATAAACTCTACCATCTTTTTCATGGCCTTCAAGACTTTTCATGTTCTGATCCTTGCCTACCTGCTCTTCCTGTATCAATCTCCCATGCCTACAGATCTTGTATTTACCTAATAAGTGAGCAATCACTCCCCACCATCTCCATCTCAATCTCTTTCTCTCTTTTACCTGTGATATTTACACAGTTGGCCTGCCTGTCTGTAATATCCTACACTTCTGTTTATCTCCCTGGCAAGCTTCTGACTCATCTCTCAAGCTTGAATTCAGGTAGTTCCTTCTTTGTGAGTTTCTGGATTTCTCAGGTAGACTGATGTTCTCTGACACCTATACTTCTATTGCAGTCTGTACATATAGTTTGGGGCACTTACCATGTTGTATTTTCATTATTCTTATTTCCCCACCAGACTTTAAAGATCACAAGAATTGACTTTTTAGATTTGTATCCTTAGTACCTAGCACAGCACAGTACCTGACACATAAATACTGACTGAATCAGAGTTTTGACCATGTGAATAAGCAAACTTGGAATATAAACTATAAAAGTCTTTGTTAATTGTGGAAGGGGTAGGAGGAAAACTAGCAAAAATCATCTTACTCTCCATGTTGTAAATCAAAACCCCGTTGTATCAGAAGAAGGCAAGGTGCTTCTGTGTCCCCAGTATTCTCATTCTCCTGCGGTCACCTCCTTTGTCTTATTTCTGTCCGCAATCTCTCCGCAGCCACCAGTCATAGTGAAGAGAGCAGGGCAGAGCGCCAGTAACCTTCGCTGCTCTTCCAGCCCCCTTGGCCCCTCCAAACACTCCTGCCATGCTGCGTGTTGAACTAATTTCCCTTACTTTTCATTACACGCAGGACTAAGGAAACAGATAAAACACACTCTGCGAGGGTGGGATGTCCTAGGTAGGAGTGCTCCTGAAATTCTGCCTGCAGGTCTGTTTCCACACCCTGAGTGCTGTGGCTCACGTCTGATCACGTCAGAGCCAGCAGCGTCCCAGTTACCTGCTATTTTGATATTCATGTTGTTATCCAGCAGGAGATTTTCAGCCTTGAGGTCACGGTGCACAATCTGCCGACCGTGACAGTAATCAACAGCAGACAGGATTTGCCAGAATTTGCGCCTGGCTTCAGACTCATTTAACCGGCCATGGTTAGCAAGGTAGTCTGTAAAAGGAGAAAGAATTCAGAATTACTCACACACACCAAAAAAAACACCCCCAAACCCACTGTTAATATCAGGATTCCCCCCCACTCAAAAACTTTTTTTAATAATGAGAGTTAGGGTTGAAGTAAAACAGTTTCCAAGTTCCTTGTCCTGAGAAAAATAACTCCAATCATATTTCACTGGGGTCTGGATAAGTGGACAGAGCCCAAGACCAGACATCAGCAATTGGCATAATATAATTTAATTATTCACAGTATAATTCAAAAAGCTTCTTTAGGTTAAGAGGCACAAACTAATATGCACAAAACCAATAAGCAACAAGGATATATTTATTGTACAACACAGGGAAATACAGCCAATATTTTATGATAATTTTAAAAGGGGTATAATCTGTAAAAATACGGAATCAATATGTTGTACACCTGAAACTAACAAAATTGCAAATCAACTAGACTTCAGTAACCTAACACTGTAAATCAACTATACTCCAATAAAAATTTAAAAAACTGTACTTCAATTTTTTAAAAATGTATTTTAAAGCCTCAACATTCTCTCTGCTCTTTGTAATACATTTTGAATACTTTTCCTAACCATCTTTTAGAAATAAAATTTATTTAAAACAAAGAACATAAATAAATTCTCGGACCTCTCATCAGACAAGGGATATCCTTCCTTTAAACAACCATTTGCGAAGTTATTGGACAAACCACCTGTAACAGAAGATACAACAGTCCCTGGAAGTAGCTTAAATAATTCACACCTTGTTCTCCTGTTCAGGGGAGCAATTCTGATCTATCCTAAAACATGCAGACTTGTTCTCAAAACCATGTCCTCGAAACAAGTATACTTCGCAAGATACATTAGCTCTTTCTGTGCAATATTATAATATCTATTAAAGTATTTTATTTGAAAATTAATTCTATATGAATTCAATAAAACTAAACATTACAATTTATTCAAGTTTCACCTGAAGATCTGAAAGGCCTCTGACATGATTTTTTGAGGAAAATGGGGTCAACATAAAACCTGAAAGGCTTTTCAGTTTAAGATTTTTTCTGAAGTTAGGAACTGTATGAGTGAATTAATATTCACAGTCAATATCACGCATTTTCTGCTCTACGCTAATTCAATCTTTTTGGCCAATGCTATCCTCAATATTTACTGTAAAATTCACTAACATTTGTATAGCACTTTACAGTTTACCAAGCATGTTCATACCACAGTGTCTCACTTAATCCCCCTAACAGTCCTCTATGACAACTATTCCTTTAATTCCCACTCTGTGGATGAGGACCCTGAAGGCACTGAGCAATCTGGCTGAATTCAGACAACTGGTAAGTGAATGGCTGCTCTGGGACTAGAACCTCTGAAAAACATTAAAAAAAAAACCAAAAAACTGTATCAAATGTCTTTACTAGACTCCTGCTAAAGTCCTAACTATCCTTTCAAAACCCTGCTCAAAACACCACCTTGCCCTGAAAAAGTCCCTCCTCTCTCAGGTAGTATCTACTAATCTCTCTCCTCCGGATTCCTCCTCACTTATAACACACTGTCTTGTACTTTAATTACCTGTATGTATATTATAAATATCTAATGTGCAGACACATGCAGCCCAAACACTCTGTGCGTTAGAAAATAAAAGATCCCTTTATTTAAGCTTCTTGAAGATAGACCCATATCATTCTCTTCTGTACTCCCCACATTGTTTATAGCACTATGCACAAAATAGCAGAGGTGAAATACTGAATACACAGCTGACGAAGGTCTTAATACAGATGGTATCATGAAACATTCCAAAAACAATATGATGAAAGTATGGAGCAGGAATGCTCTATTCTACATGTTATAGGCTTTAAATGTGAGTGAACTGTGATATATTTTTATATATCTACTGTTAAAACAAGCTGAGATGAGTGTGTCACAACTCCCCTTTGCCTTTATGGAGCACACAGTAACCATTTATACTTGTAAAAGGGGAAAAATGATCACTTAAGAACAAATCTGTAGACTTTTCAGCCAAAATGTCCAAACTATCATCAGAGTGACTCTAAATACCTTGGCAAGTGAACAATGTGCTTTCTATTCATAATAGTAAACTGGAGCCTCATTTCTCTGGATGAGCAGGGGCATGGGTTAATAAAGGGCAAATGCAAATTCCCAAGGGGAATGCAGTGTTTTATGTAAGGGATTATCTTCTGACTAGTTAGTTATAACCTTCCTAAGAGTCTACATAAATGCTACTTAAACTGTATCACTAAATGAGACAATCTTTCCACAGACAAAATGACTGACTTTTCCAAACAGACAGAATTTCTTCCTGTTGAAAATTCTGAGTCAATGTGGATCAATGGAAAAAATTTTTTGAGATTTTTGACAACACAGGGAAACTTAACAGATGCAATATGAATAAGTACATGTAAATATATGTAGAAAGATAACCCAAGCTATTGCCTACAAAATGAGTCCTGGGAAGCACAATAGAATCTACAGTAACTGATGGTTTTTTGAAGTGATCAGTCCAAACTGGAACTACTATAGCCAAGGGGGTTAAAAAGCTTTGTAGCTTGGCAGGAAGGGACTGTCTACAGACAGTCCCAACAACAAAGTGGGGGTATATCTGAAGCTACAGTCATCACATGTCAATGAACCTATAACACTGTGAGAAAAATGACAACATTCATGTTCCAGAGAGTAAGAGACCATTTACAGAGGTGGAATTTTCACTTCTTAAGCAAAACTGTCAGCAAGTATTTTAGCACATCTATGCTCTTCCCTACTCTTTATGATTTCTGCAGCGCAGACAACCCCCAGAACTAACCCCCACAGATCAGAAAATGACCAAGGTAAAAACCCGTGACTGCAAATTATCATCCTCATGAGGGGCACTGTTATCAATCCAACTCAAATTAATCCACAAGGTCTAAAGATAACATGCAAAAAGCACGCATTTCAGATTAAAAAACTACTTAATTATGGTTACAGAAAAAACTTATAAGTGAAATAGGAATTCTCTATATGAATTGCCTGTGTATGTATTTTTGATGAAGGGATAGTTCTAAAAAATTATTTCCCATGTTTACATTTGTTCTGATTGTTAATTTTATGTTTTTTGGTTTTAATAACAAAACTTTAAAAAGTACTTATTTATTTGGGTGCACTGTCTGAGTTGTGGCGCACGCAATCTTCAGTCTTTGAGCAGCAGCAGCATACAGGATATTTAGCTACAGCCTGTGAGACCTCGTTCCCTGACTGGAGGTTGAACCTGTGCCCCCTGAGCTGGGAACAAGGAATCTGAGCTACTGGACTGCCAGGAAGTCCCAACAAGCATTTTTAAGGCTATATTTTGTATGTGTGAAAGTGTTAGTAGCTCAGTCATGTCTGACTCTTTGTGACCCCGTGGACTGTAGCCCACCAGGCTCCTCTGTCCATGGGATTCTCCAGGCAAGAATACTGGAGTGGGTTGCCATTCCCTTCTCCAGGGCATCTTACCGACCCAGGGATCAAATCTTGGTCTCCCACATTGCAGGCAGATTCTTTACCAATGGAGCCACCAGGTAAGCCTGATATTTTGTATGTCCTTCCCCCCAGTTTTGCTCTTATGATAATTGATTTTTATCATATTTTGATAAATATCATGGTCTGTGACAGACTGGCCAATCAAAAAAAACTGGTCTTTCAACACCAACAGTTTGAGAAACACTGGTACAGACAAGTAAACAGGCAATTGCAATAAACTGTGATAAAGGCTGGGCTTCGCTGGTGGCTCAGTGGTAAAGAATCCACCTGTAGTGTAGAAGCCACAGGAGATGCAAGTTCAATCCCTGGGTCAGGAAGATCCCCCGGAGGAGGGCACGGCAACCCACTCTAGTATTCTTACTTGGAGAATCCCATGGACAGAGGAGCCTGGCAGGCTACAGTCCATGGGGTCGCAAAGAGTCGGACATGACTGAAGTGACTTAGCATGCATGCATGTGATAAAGGCTAACACAGGAATAAATATATCCTATTAAGTATTTTTGCATTTGAAATTTAATTTTTTTTTATTACAGAAGTTTCAAACATACATGGAAGTGGGAAAACAGTATAATTCTCCAGATTGAAAAGTCATCAACATTTTGCCTTATTTGCTTCACTTATCCTTTTTTCCCCCCCTTTATTCTTCCTTGTGAAAGTGAAAGTGTTAGTCACTAAGTCATGTCCGACTCTTTGTGATCACAGGAATGTAGCCCACCAGGCTCCCCTGTCCATGGGATTCTCCAGGCAGGAACACTGGAGTGGGTTGCCATTTCCTTCTCCAGGAGATCTTCCCAACCTAGGGACAGAACCCAGGTCTCAGCATTGCAGGCAGATTCTTTACCACTGAGCCACCAGGGAAGCTACTCTTCCTTGTGATATGGTTTATTTTACACTCCACCAACACTGCTTTAATGTCCCTGGAAACTTTCTCAGCTCTCATTTCTTATGACCTTTCAATTATTAGTTTATACTTAATTGGTTCCCAAAATAAACATCTCTTCCTGTTGATTCTGTGTTTGCCTGGTTTTTCTCCATCTCTTTCACTAATTGGCTCTACTTTCTCTTCAGTCACATAAAACTACCATAGTATAGTTCTGGCCTTTTGCTGTTCTTTTCCTATGCTCCTTCCCTCATAGAATTAATCTAAACTCTTACCTTTGTAGGGATAACCTTTGATCTGCTTCATTCTTTTTTTTTTTAAATGTATTTGGCTGCACTGAGGCTTAGTTGTGTTATGAGGTCTCTTAGTTGTGGCATGTGGGATTTAGTTCCCCGACGAGGGATCAAACCTGGGCCCCCTGCATTGGGAGCAAGGAGTCTTAGCCATTGGACTACCAGGGAAGTCCTGGTCTGCTTTATTCTTAACTGGATGATTTTAGTTTTCTTTCACATGCTTCTCATTTATAGCCAGTCTAGGGGGTACTTCTTCAGACACTTCAGTCAAAATATGTCTCAACATCTGGCCTGGAACTTTCTGGTCACA